CAAAGTGGCGAAGAGTCACTCGCCAACGTAGAACGCACGTCTGAACTCCGATTGACACGAAACTTGGAGTGCTTGCATATCTCACTAATATGCATCTAACTCTAAAGCCGCTTGTCCAAACTCTCGATGGAACCCCGACTTCTAGGGTCATGGCCCGGTGCCCCAATTGGCCCCCGTTGAGCTTGTCACCGACACCACTGACATCGCATCGCCTTGCATTATGCATACGCCTTCTCTAGGCATTCTTGTATACATCCTTGAGGTGTGATAGGTGATGCACCATCCTCCTTGGTCGCATCACGACACTTCTCTCTCGGCCCTCAACATGGTCCGATGGACGACATATGCATGTCGTTGACACTTGCACACTACGTGGGTGTCACAACCTAGTCTCTATTAGTATGGTTGTGACATGCTCCCCCACTTAAACTGTCATCCTTCTCGATGACATACTCGTGGGTACAATCCAAAGATAACAGTTAGGATTGTAACACTCAGCATCCTCCCTCACTACTACCATTCGTAGTCGCTTTCACATCCATTCAACTTCCAGATTTTACCATGATGTTTGTTTTCTAAAAGAATAAAAATAAAAACGATTATCAAAAGTTAAAACTCTAATAGGCCTTGAAAGAAAAGAAAACCACAAATCTTAAATTATAAACCCTAAAATCCAAGTCACAGATTCATAAAACTATGAATTTTAAAATTCTAAAATTCAAAAAATGATACCAACATAAATAAAGTTTTTTGTTTAATGTTTGTTGGAATGGAGAAAAAAATAAAAAGTCTAGGCATTTAATGAAAATTTATTATTTAAAATTAAAGTATCACATGGTTAAATAAGTAATTTATTTTAAAATTCTATAAAATCCTACAAAAACCGACTAGTTTGATCTAAACAACTCCGTCCAAATTTAAAATCACTCAAAATATTGGAATAGGAAAAGACTAGCAATATTTCAACTAAAACTCTAAATAAAATTGACTATTTATTCTATTTTCTTTCTAGATTCGAAATCATGAACTTTTAGKAAGGGATTAATGACTTAWCGAGTTGAGTTAAGCAGGTAATATTTTGACTGTTTTTTTTCAACATAAATATTTTGACTAATTAAAATAGGCTCGTGCCAGTTTAATACCTTAGTCATATCACCTAAAATTGATTATATTTTCAAATATTTACACACTTAGAGCAACAGTGTTATAAGTATCATTTTCATTTAAATCTCCACGGTTTTCTTTTTCTTYTTTCGTTTGAAACTTTATTTTTGTTTTGAAATTTAAATTAAAAAAATCCGTATGTAAAAGCAAAACTAGGGTAAAAAAATTAAAAACACACAGTAAAATATGTTATATAGAGGGACCTCAATGTTTTTACTTTCTAACCTTGGCGGATTGTATTATGCCCTTGGGGTTTTTGACAGTGTGAACTTTCGAGAGCGTGGCTTCGGCTTAAAATGCTTGTCTCTTTTGCGTACAACAAAAAAGCGTGAAGTTCTCAATTGTTGTTTCTGTACGAAACGGATCGTGTGAAAAACCAAAATCAGAACCAAAAGA